TCTCGTAAATTAACAAAACGCCTACTGAATATGTCCGACTCTTTTATAGAACATCTTCATTATCTGTAAATAATGTTAGCAGCATCTATTAACTGTGTTGAAGTTAATAGCTGAAGTTATTGTTGAAGTTATTGGCATCATTTGAAGCTATTTATTTACTTATATTGAAAAATATTTAAAAGTAAATTAAATTAGTAACGACGCAGAAAAAAGTAAAAACAAAATATTTGCTTTTGCCTTGACAATAGTCATCAACCGTGCGTGTTATTAATGTTGTTATATTTATTTTTAAAGTTTATTTGCAATATTAAAGCTTATTATACGGGATAGTGCCACGATATATCTATGTTATGCTTATAGTAGGAATAGATCCACACCACAGGGTGGACCACGCTCTCACAGAATACCATAGAACCGGAGACCATTTTACTGGAAACGAGGCATTCATAGAATCAGTTCTGAATTTAGATTCTTAGTCCATCCACCACTATGCATCCACTTACCAACAGATGGATTTTGTTCTATATAAAATCCACTCGAAGTTTTGAGTTGGAAGGAAGTTAAATTTTATTAAATTAACATTAATGTGTTTCAATTAATTTAAACTTTTAAATTCATTATTACCCAATTAATACTCATTTATCTCGACCACGTCTTAAATTTGATTTAAAAAAAGTAGTTGAGTCGAAAGTAATGGATGGTGACTTAAAAAATGCATCCCGTATTTTATTCTCAGACGACATCCTGGCTCCTCGTAATGTTGAAACTCTTGAAAGCCTTCGTGAAAAGCATCCTTCTGTCAAACCGTCTCAGGGTTTACCGCTGCCTCCCAAGACTTCTATGCAACCTTTACAAATTTCGGAAAAAGACACTTTAGAAGCAATTATGTCATTTTCGAATGGCTCTGCTGGCGGCATTGACGGAATTACGCCTCAACATCTTAATGATCTTGTAAGCGCTTCTGCCGGTGACGCCGGCGGAGTACTTCTTAAAGACATTACAAAATTATATAACTTTATGCTTTCTGGTAATGTTAATCCAAATTTCATTCCATTCTTATATGGGGCAAGATTATGTGCCTTCAAAAAAAAGGATAACGGTATCCGTCCTATTGCCGTTGGTTCCACATTTCGACGCTTAACTTCAAAATTAGCTTGCAGGTACATAATCTCTAACCTTAAGACCAAATTTCAGCCTACTCAACTAGGTTTTGGCACTAGAGGTGGCTGTGAGGCGGCGGTACATTCAGTGCGTACATTTTTAACAAACTCTGATGCAGATGTTCTTGTGAAGGTTGACCTAAGGAATGCTTTTAACTCTATCGATAGGGTAACCTTGCTGAAAGAAGTGGCTAACAATACCCCCGAAATTTATTATTACGTTTGGCAATGTTATAGTCAAAATACTAACTTGTTTTACGAAAACCATGTTATCGATTCTGCTGTTGGTGTTCAGCAGGGTGACCCACTGGGTCCAGCACTTTTCAGTTTGGGAATTCAACCCATTATTTCAAATTTGAAATCCAAGCTGAACGTCTGGTACCTAGACGACGGTACACTGGCAGGTAGAGCAGATGACGTCCTCAGCGATCTTACTCATATTTTTCGAAATTTTAAAAATATTGGCCTTGAACCAAATAGCAATAAATGTGAAATATTTTTTTCCAATAATTTATCTAGGTACTTCTCATAGAGACACTTTAATTCAAAATTTTAATCATATTTGTCCAGGAATAAAAACTGTCAATACGGAATCACTATACCTGCTAGGTCCCCCGTTGTTTTTCGATAGTATTAAACCTGTTTTAAAAACAAAATTTGATCAGTTTTTAAACCACGTTGATAAATTGTATAAATTAAACCCCCACATAGCTCTTACTATTTTAAAATATTGTGTTCTTGTACCTAGATTTACATACTTACTCCGCTCGAATCCAGTCTGGTAATGTTCGGATATTTTACAAGATATTGATAATAATCTTAAAATAGCTATAGAAAAAATTCTAAATTTAACTTTAAATACAACAACCTGGACTCAAGCTACTTTACCTATAAAATTTGGTGGCATTGGTGTGAGAAATCTTTCTAGCGTTGCATTGCCTGCTTTCCTTGCTTCCGTGCATAGTGTCAATAACTTATGTAACATAATTTTAAATAATAAAGTAGACCTATGCTTTGCTACGGAGGCAGGGCAGACATGGCAAACGCTCTGTCCTGGTGAAAATATTCAACTGGAAGTTAACCAACAAAAACAGTGGGATATTCCGTTGGTACAGGGCGTGCAGAAGGATTTGTTTCATAACTTCCATAGTGACCAAGATAAGGCACGCCTTCTAGCTGTTTCGACTAAGGAATCTAGTCACTGGTTACACGCTTTACCATCAAGTAATCTCGGCACATTACTTGATAGGGAAAGCTTGCGCATTGCCGTAGGAATCCGACTAGGAGCGGCGATTTGTCAACCCCATCAGTGCCCTTGTGGTAGCAGCGTCGGCAAGTTTGGGCTCCACGGACTTTCATGTAAGAAAAGCGCTGGTAGGTTTTCACGACACAGTTCTTTGAACGATGTCATCCGAAGGGCTCTTGCCTCTATAAATGTTCCCTCGGTTTTAGAGCCTTGTGGAATATTTAGAGACGATGACAAGTGACCCAACGGTATGACATTGGTCTCTTGGGAGAGAGGTAAAGTCCTAGTGTGGGATGCTACTTGCGTAGACACTCTGGCGACCTCTCATCTCAGGGGTACCTCGTTTAAAGCCGGGGCGGCATCAGAGGCAGCTGAACTGAGTAAGTGGCGCAAATATGAGTCTCTGAGAGATGACTACATATTTGTGCCATTTGCTGTAGAGACTATCGGTCCGTGGGGTCCACGTGCGGTGAGGTTCCTAAAGGAACTCCAACCGCGGCTGGTCGTTGCTGCTGGTGATAAGAGGGCTGATTCTTTCCTCGCTCAAAGGCTAAGTATAGCCATTCAGCGGGGAAACGCAGCCAGCGTTCTTCGCACGATACCGTGGGGAGTAGGACTATATGATAATTAAGTTTCTAGTTTTAGTTTTTTTTTTATTATCATAGTTTTTAATATTGTAGATAAAATTAAGTATTATGTAAAAAAAAATTTAATCTTAATTTTTTTCATAAAAATCTAGTAATTTGTAAAAAAAGTATGTACTTAATAAAATATGAGTTCATTAAAAATGCTATGTGCCCACTAAAAATAACGATGTTATATAACAACAGGAAGTAGAGCAGCGCGGCGAATTAATTGTTCAATAATCCTGTCAGAAAAGGGAGGCCTGGCCAGCAGAGTGTACACGAGTACATCTCTCTGCTGGCCATCTCTCTCCCCTATATACGAATATAGGCTGTAACTTAACTTTTGATACATTATAACTAGCATTAATGCTGTAATAATTTAAAATTTAAAATTTTGTACAACCGCCTTCAATATAAATTATTAAGAATAACTCAAAAACGTTAGTTTAGACGTTAATCAATATAACTATATGGGACCGCATGTGAAGCACCAGCTTTCAAATAAAAATAAAAAAAGAATCACTGAAATCGGTTCAGTAAGAAAAAAGTTATGAGGTAGCACACCTAAAACCACAGTCGAAATGAATACCTGCCAAGCGTGACAACTATAGCAAATGTCCTCTTATGAGGCAATTTATGGGTTAGCCCGTGTTCTGAAGTGGATTTTGATAGACTCTAATGAATTAATAAATTAAGACGTTAGGTAGAATTACACTTAAATGTAATTTAAAACATGAATTTTTCCTTATTCATTATGTCACCAAGATTTTGCTATAAAAATTAATTTCTAGGAAAACTTGTAGGAAAATGTATTTAAGATTTTAAATTCTCACGCCTGTTACTCAGAGGGGTAGACAGAAACTACTGACTTCCATTTGGCACGAACCTGACACACCTCTCTCTTATCTTTCATATCGTATATGGATACGTACACTACATGCTCGTCGCTTAAAGGTACTCTTAATTTGGCCCATTTTCAATATATCATCAATTTGGTCGATAAACTTCCGTCTAGGGCGCCCCACGTCGACTCTGTCACTCTCTTCGGCACTATAAATTTGCTTTGCCTCTTTTTTCCTCATTCATTCTCACTACGTTACCAAATTACCGAATCATGTACTTTTTAAGCTGTAGCTCATTCGACAGGTCTCATGTTGATGTCAGCAACATGTAGTGCTAATCAAGAAGATATTATCACGAAAGCCATGGTGTGAATTTCGTTTTGTGAACTTTTTATTTGGTCATAACTCGTTTTGACTGTTTTTGTGGCAAAACAAGAAGGTCGCGTCGTGGACGAATTCAAGCGACAGTAACCTCATGGTGGGGTGACAGCAGCATATGGTGGTTTCGAATCTGCCATTCGACTACTGTCGGGAACTTCTCCCGACAGAAGTATTTTAAGTTTACCTGGTGTGGTTAATGTAATTATATGTTGTGTTAATAGTATTGCCAGTATTTTAATGTTTGTTTTTAAATTTTATATAATATTATAAGCCAGTGACTTATCACTATCCCAATCCCAATTGTTGATGCAATAAAAATAATTAACGAGAGCCTATTAACGATTCTCAGATTATTAAAATTATTATTAAAAGTATGGTAAGTGGCTACTACACTTGGACATCTACGACCAACTTCAAACATAATTTTATACGTGGTAGAGCCATGCTGCAGCTATATTAGTAGTATAGTTGTAGCACGAATGGGTCGGCTCGACCGGGAAAGGACCACGCTCTCACAGAATACCAGCATAAAATAGCAGCTTTTACACTGCTGTGTTTCGTGTGTGGAGGATAGATGTAGACGTCTATGGGGCACAGCAAACCAATTACCATTCAGGTGGACTGTGTGCTTTCTTGTCACCTTTAGCCTATAAAAAATGGTTGCTGCTTTTTGGCTGATGAAGAATGTAAGATTGTAGAAGGAGATTGGAATGTAGAAGGGGATGAGAATAATGAAAGACAATTTACAAGAAAACACTGGTTTTTATTTTTTTATTTATCAATTTGTATCTTAGAAGAGAAATATGTTTGCCATCATTAGAAGTGTAATTATCATATACGTATCACAGGATGTACTCGTAGCTTACTTTCCTCCGCGAAGAAGTGGTGAGTTGTCTGAAAACAAAAACATCCCTAATTATCAACACAGACACAAAAACAAGAACCATGTTATCTCAGAGGGTTCTTGTCTTAAATTTTAAAATACTCGTACACAAAAAACAAGAGCCCGACCACCTTAGCCAAAATATATCATTGCAATGTGATCGCTTCTTTCAAGTGCTGATTTCCATCGTACTCGGCGGTGAAGAAAAACATTATGAATAAACCTACTCGTCTGATGAATTAACAAAACAGACATTACATTAGAAATAATAATGTCCTCCAAACCGAATTTTTGTCACGACGGTCAGTCTCAACAGACACTAGCCTCTACGCGGGAATTGAATTAATATGCACGAGTTTGTGCACAAGCGAAGGTGCAGGGTGCACTTCCTTACTCTCATAGTCCAATGGGACGGCAATCCGATACAACCAGAGAGAGATCAGGTGCAGGGCCAATAGCTTTATGTGGTTTCCAGGTGCGGCGGTGAAACATCGCCAACTTGCTGACTCCGGACTGCTACTGAGAATTCCTTTGACAAAAAAACCCAATAACTGATTTTGGCTCGAGCCGGGATTCAAACCCGGGACCTTATGATTCATCAGGAGTCGCGCTAACTATCACTAGAACAGCGAGTCAGACAATACTGGTACCGCTGAAAATGATCAACCAATCAGTCAATCATATTTTTATTTGCAAAATCAGATGTTAACAAACGTGTTTTATAATATTACTAACTGGACAGGCAAACGTTGTTCTGCACTTTTCGACGACTTATCAGGATAAAAACTATCCTATCTCTCAAGTTGGACCGAACTGCACAGCGTGTGCAAAATTTAATTGAAGTCAGTTCAGTAGTTCAGTAGTTAGAGTTCATCGCGGACAAACAATGTGACACGTAATTTTTATATATAAAGTATTAAGATCTTCTGATTTATCCATGTAACATGCAATGTAATATACATTACATAAAAAATTACATACATAATATAAAAAATCACAATGTCACACTTAAAACCAAATCCTTGATTGTTTTACTTCTGCATTTTTTCTGCATGCCCCCAAAAAATTATCAAATAATATTCTTTGAGTATAACTGTTATTAATGAAATCTGGAAACACTGGAAAATTGCTTTGAAATAAGTTAATTAGGCTAAGAAACATAAGAGAACGCACCTAGGATTCAAAGGCTTCATAGGCAGGCTATTTGTAACCTCATATTATGTCAATAAAGATTATTATTATTATTTTCGGAAAGTGTTTTTCACTTCTCAGCCTATAGACTGGAATTCAACTACATTTACGGGCCGAAACCAAAGCAAATGCAGCGTGTGGTGTATATTGCTACGTATTTTATTGAAGTCCTATTTCGTTTTTTTCTATCTGCATACCCAAAATGAAATCAAATATTTATTTAACACTTACACTGCTTGCCAGGGTACGGCCTGTTTTGATTGTTTCCGAAGTTAACGAATTCCGGACCAGTACCTGAACAAAAAAAAATATAATTTCATAGGTCGGTAATAAAATGTTAGGACTGCTTTTTTGGGCAGAAGCCCAAGATAAACTTTGGTGGTATGGTAGCATGTGCGCGAGCAAAGTTCGTTCAATCTCCGCCTGCACTAATGAAATAATTTTCAGTGCTGATTGCTGATATGCTTGGTGGTGAAAGAAAACATTAGGTTTCTAGCATGTCTAATATATTGTAATAAAAATTTCAAAGAACATGTGAACTTTGCCAACACATATTAGGGCAACATTAATTTTTATTGTAAACTAGCCGGTACCCCGCGCGTTGCTGCAGTAGAAATAATTGTGGAAAATTAAATATTGTTTTAAATTTGGAAGAGTTTATATAGTTTAATTACGAATGATAATACATTTATTTAGGAGATATATAAAATATCTTACGTGTTTATTCTATTTAAACTAACAGTTATTACAATAAATTAAAAAGTAAACGTTACTCACTTATTTGTTCATAACCGCCATTTGAAGCTGAAAAATAAAATTGAATTTACATTTTTGGAAAAAAATATTAAAATGCAAGTAGTCAGACTTGATAATTATAACGATTTCCACCAGGATCATTTTCGACCACGACACGAAAAAGGATTATTCCTACCAGTCCTAGCTCACTTGTACCCGATGTGGCACATACATAACGTCTTAGCTCTCCTTACCCGCTGTAGTTCATACTAAAACGAGATTGGAAATGGACTTAAACATAGGGTCAGACATACGTGCATGCAACATAGGTGCAATCACAACACAACCAGATTCTAAGCGAATAAATTGTAATTTTGCGTAAAATATTTCTTTGGCTGGAATTTGCACAACTCAACATTTTCACGCGGCAGAGCCACATTGCCACAATATTGTTGGTATACGTCCGAGTATAATGGTGGTCTATAATATTGGTGGTGGTCTGGTTATAATGGTGGTCTTTTTTGCCTAGCAGTCCTCCTAGGTGAAAAAAGACCTTCTACCTCTGATCCTCTTGCATATACCAGTCTGGTATATGCAAGAGGATCATACCGTAAATTATCTGAAGTTAAATGTGTCTGATGTTAACGAGTATATTTTATGATGGTATATAATTCTTAAATTAAGAAAAAGGTGTTTTTATTTTTAGTAAAACAAAACTTACGGTTACTTGGTCTGTAAAAGGCCTGGTCAATCACAACTGTAACAGAAGAGTATGTACATCAATTACATGGACAATGAAAATGTTAATTACCTTCACCTGACTATCATATAATTTTAGTAAAAAACATATAACTATTTCTCTACATAATTATAATCAAGGGTCCGGGAATAAATAACCGTTATTCAGATTTAAAATAATTATATAATAATATCTACGACATTAGTGGTTAACGAAAATAGATCTAGTATCACCTAGTAATGGATCTTGTCATTAATTGATGTTCTGCCATTGTTCCAGACAACAACTTTAAAATATTCTAGAATTTAAAGTCATCTGCTAGACATGGTCCTAATAAAAAAGGGTTTGTCTTATCTTCGTCATCCTATCCATATAACATCTAATTACACGCCGCATACAGCTTAAACGTCAATAATAACCAAAAAAAGAGCAATACCAATTTTTTTAAATGAAACAATTGATCAAGATATGATTAATTTGCATTTTGTCTAACTTCCTAAATAATAGATAAGCTAATATTTTTGCTAAAAGTTGGAAAAATTACGCAAAAGATAAGGCATACAAAAGATGCCTGTTCATATTTAATATAGTACCTTTCCTTGTGTACTCTTTAGTCTGATTTTAAATAAACTTTTTAAAATTAAAATAAGCAAGAAAAGTGTCATACTTACAACCATCCGGGTTATTGAGTTGCTGACCCTGACCTGAAAATAAATCACAAATTAGCAGCAACTCAGTCACCAATGCAAAGCAATATGAACCGTTAGTTAGGTATACGTTTAAAAAAATAGGATACAAAAGTAAAATAATCTAAATTTATTTTATATTTGTACTAGCTGACCAGGCAGACGTTGTTCTGCCCTTTCCTGAGATGACCCTTTCTCCAATAAAAAAATTCTTTAATTCCTAATAAAAAATGTTAACGGTCACTTATCGGGATAAAAACTATCCTATCTCTCAAGTTGGACCAAACTGCACACAGTGTGCACAATTTCATAAAAATTAGTTCAGTAGTTTAGAAGTTCATCGCGGACAAACAATGTGACACGTAATTTATATATATAATAAACCTAGCAAGCTAACAGCATAGCAAAGTGGCGAAGCAATCAGTTTTGTAGCGGTTTCTAACGGTTGCCGTTGAGCAATCAGTTTCAAAATAGGAGGTTCAGATGCCTGGATGATCAGTAATCGATTGCTGAAAACAGAATTTGAAAATTCGAAACCGTTCTCGAGATAATCGTGGGACAGACGGAGAGACGGACAGACGGACAGACATCGTGAAATCAATAAGTGACTTCGCAAGCTTCGCCACTTAATAATTGTATTCTATTACCAACGACAAATGTCAAATGCGCGTCAAGGACTTCTTTTGTGATTTATATACGACGACTTTTCATATAAATACAACAATGTATTTTCTTTAAATCCGAGACTATCAATTAACCACGTTTTGTAATCGTTACCGTTACAGCCTATAAAAGTCCACCGCTGAACATAGGCCTCTTTTACGTGGTAGATTCTCTTAAGGTGACACTAGTCGACATTATTTCCATAGAAATTTCGGAGGGGTTTTACTCCGCTGTTTGACAGTGTACATGCAAAATTAAACATGATATCGTTTTGTCTCATTATTAAATTTGTCTGTACGGAAACAGAATAGTAAAATAAAATGTTATTAAAAAGTTACGAGCTACCAAAGATTCGTTTTTATTGCCAATTTTAACACAACTTTGGGCGTAAATTAGTAATAAAAGAAGTGAAAAATTTCCAAAACAAAGTCGGTACCGACACAACTCAATTATCGAAGAACTCAATAAATTTTATTTGTAATTGATTAATGTAGTGGTTTTTTCATAAAACCCCTTCTTCTAAAGGCCTTTTCGTATTTTTTTACGCGCGCATGTTACTATGAATTATCGTGCATCTCACTGAATAATGTCTCCCCCGGTGCGGTGCGGGAGGACGATGCTTACACACACATGCACAGGCGGTGACGCGCGCTTATATTCGAGTTTTATTCGAAACGAAAAGTTTTGCTATTTTGTAATTTGGACGCCAAAGACAAAAGATGGCATGGAAATTGATATAATTGAAAGAGATGATGCGTTTTGGACGACAGACAATATTTTAAAATTTTCGTCTGTAATATAATATAATTATAAAAGTAAAAAAAGTAAAATCTATATTCGATTACTATATAAAATTGCAACAATTTCATTGGTGCCGACGGGGATCGAAGCCGGGTTGCTCGCGTAATGTGATACTTACAGCGAGCGCTAACCATCTGAGCTACCACGGCTCTCAATGCAAGTGTTATAAATAAATAAAGAATTAAAAAACAGTTTAATTATTTATTAGACGACTTTTGCGGCGGACAAACAAAGTATATTATGTGGGATTTTCATAGGTACCTACTGTTATTACCTAGATACCTACAATCTACAATACAACAAAATGTCACAAAACCTCGCCGCGTCGTGGCCACAAAATTGTAAACTTTAGGTAGGTACGTCAGTACTAAGAAAACAATCTTGATGGGTCACTTGTCTTGATAAAAACCTGTGCTTACGTTTAGTGATATTGAGTATATATAAAAAAACCCAGGTGAGTAAGTATTTTTGAAAACAATTTATAGGTAGGCAGACCAATTACGATTATTATCTAAATATTATAAATGCGAAAGTTTGGATATTTGGATGGACGGATGAATGGATGTATGTTACTCAATCACGCCAGAACGGCTGAAGGGATCTGGATGATATTTTGCTCAGAGATAGGCTATAGTCTGGAATTTGTTTTTTCAAAAAAACGTTACGCCACACTAGGATTTTCTCCTGTATCGTGGAGGCAGTTTACAAACATCCAGACCCGGAACAATTATTTGTAGACCATACAAATACTTGTTCGATTGATTCGAACCCGCGGCTCCCAGTACAACTATTCATTGCTAAGCCACTGCGCCACGGAGCTGCCAAATATCATATAATATGATATTTCGTTGCCGTGGGATAATTATCGAGTTACACACGTTCGAAGCCGAACTCTTGAGTGATTGCTGCATGACCACTCGGGGAAAACTAAACATAATAAAATAAGCAATCTATATTAGGTATATAGAGCCACAGAGGTATACCTAATAATTTCGCGGTTTCACCCGCGTCATCACGTGTCCGAGATGCGTGGCATGACATGACACCTAGTTCAAGCATTTTATAATTGCAATCAAATATTTTATTTGATTGTAATGTATGGAAAAATTGTCATGATTAATGGAGTACTTTTATTTTATCTGTCGGCATATTGTGCGCGGTTTTTTCCAGTTTTAAAGAAAAACGTACACGATACATGAAAAGTGTGTAGGCAAGAAATGATTCTTGATAAATTTGCTATCAACCTCTTATACTTATTAATCAATTAAATTTAAATTTTCAAAATACCATAGCAACGTGAAATGAAAGAGTTCAGATATAAAGATGTAACTAATCATTGCTACGCTCACCCGGGAGATAGATAAAAGTACTCAATTAATTTTGAATTTATTTTAGCTACTAGCTGTACCCCGCGACTTCGTCCGCGTTTAGTTTAGGGCGTTAATTTTGTTGCAAAGACACCTAATAATTTTTCTAAAATTTAAGCAGGCTAAGTTACTTCTTATAACATGAGCTATCTACTAGTGAAAGTCCCGTCAAAGTCGGTCCAGCCGTTTTGGAAATTAACCGCAACAAACAGACTGACAGACATACAAAAATGTTAAAAATTGTGTTAATGTTATAAGTACCGTATACAGTTTCATACGCAATTAGTAAAAAGCTGTTATTTTGACATTACAAACAGACACTTCAATTTTATTTATTTGTGTAGATATAGATAACGACTGAACTAACGGCTAACCTAACCTCGCTCATAGAAGCTTTCAATACTGGCTTCTCAGTTCGCACCGGGCTAGGGGTTATGCGTTGTTTGCGCGTCAAGCCAAGTAGGTATTGAATTATTTTAATTTTACATTATCTCTTAAACTATGTACTATATAAACATTATAAAGAACGAAGTTTATCTTCATAAAATTGTCTTGATAATGAAGTAACTTTGGTTCGTAAGGTGCCTAATAATAAAATTTTCATTTTTTTTTGTCACAAAACGCCTAATTGTGGCTTATATATAAGAAATAGACATATGGTATCGCGGACTTTTTTTAGACGGAGTAAGGATCTATATTTTTCTAGAACATTGTATTTACGTATCCCGAACCATAACAGCGCTTTTTCTTCTGACTTCCTTAACAAATATAGGCTAGCTGAGATATATAGCCTAATGCTGTATAGCCTATACTATTCAACATGAATCTGGCTATAATATCCAAAAAAAGATTTTTCAAATCGGACTAGTAGTAGTAGTAGTTCCAGAGATTAGCACGTTTAAACAAACAAAAACCCTCTTCTGCTTTATTATATTAGTATAGATGTTGCATCGTGTTCGTGTAACTTCGTTTTCATTCTAACGGTTCGGAACACCGTACGAACAAGACATGCGTGAATACTAGTGTCGATATGCTCATCACTGATACTATCTCTGTCGGGCACGATGCCAGGTGAGACAGCGTGCTTTTTGGCCGCGCCCACCAGCGAGTTCGAGCCCGCGACTTGTGCCACCTTAAGTGAATAAAAAGCCATGCTGTAGCTATATTAGTAGTATAGTTGTAGCACGAATGGGTCGGCTCAACCGGGGAGGGACCACGCTCTCACAGAATACCAGCGCAAAATAGCAGCTTAACACTGCCATGTTTCGTATGGTGAGTGTAGAGAACCGGAGACCCTTATTACTAGAAAAGAGGCATTCCAACTTAGTCCTCACGGGTGACAACGCATCTGCATTTTGTTCGTAGTCGAGGATAGATGTAGATGTCTATAGGTCACAGCAACTACTTACCATCAGGTGGACTGTGTGTTCGTTTGTCACCCGGTCCTATATAAAAAAAGATATTTACCATAGTTGCCACACTTAGCAAGCGGGTTGGCAACCGCATTTTTTTATTATTTTGAGCTGTTATCAGGAAGATGCAGCTTCTTTTCTCCCGTTTCAGTTTCCCTCTGCCACATCTTACGACATCCACGGGAGGATATAAGGTAATGCAGCATATCTATAAGTACCATAGGGTCACTTCAGACTGCATTTTGTAACTAGATCGACTAAACGTGGTTTATTGACATTGAAATTTGTAAATAGTAAATAAATTAATAATTCCTCCATATCCCTTTCAGAGATGAAAAGAGGTCAAGACCAACCGTGAGACGCGTATAAGCTGTAATTTTTTTTACTCTAATTAAACTAATAGTTGTTAAAGTAAATTAGAATTAAACGTTACTTACCATATTGACCATAGCCGCCATTGGAGGCTGAAAAAATGAAGTCAAGTATTATATATATATATAAAGAAGTGTGCAAAAATTTAAGTAGTTAAGAATTGATTAATTGAATTGACGACTCTGTGGCGCAATGAGTAACAGCGCGGAGGGCCGCGGGCTTGAATACCGCACCTAACAAGTATTTGTATGGCCTACAAATTACTGCTCCAGGTCTAGATGTTTGTCCATGTGAAATTTACTTATGTAAACTGCCCCCACGATACAGGAGAAATCCCTAGTGTAGTGGTGAATACAAAATAATTACAATGATCTCCAGTAAAACAATTTTGGACCACGGCGACCACTTTTGGGTAATCGGATTCTACTGCTCAGGAGATACGAGATCGTGCATCGTAGTATATTAGGGTTTTATACGAGTTGGTGACAGGGGTAATGTGATAAATTGAGGGAGTGCGGAATGGGCTACTAGTTGACACGTTATTATATTTTATTACGTCGATTTTAGCTAGTTAATTTTTAACATCTTCAATATACTTAATATATATATATATATATATATATATACACCAAAGTTACGCCTGATCCTATTAAATACTCGTATTACAGGAGTACTTATATTTTATGATGGTAGGTAGGGTGTACTCATCTTTATCTGTGACAAAACAGAATATTGCAAAAAAAATCGGGTAAAACTTAATATAAATGTTTTACTTTATATAAGAGCATCAACCACCCTTTTGTTTACCATATGAGCAATAGTAATCATATTCAAATAGTTCAGTAAAATAGTTGGCATCGGCTAGTTCTTAAATTAAGAAATATGTTTTTATTTTTAGCAAAGCAATACTTACGGTTACTCGGTCTGTAAAAGGACTGGTCAATCACAACTGCAACAGAAAAGTAAAAAGTAAAAAAAGAAGAAGAATATGTTAATTGGCTCTATAAGTAGCAAAAAACAAGAACAATTATTAGAGAACACTTACATCTTAATACTTTAAAAATATCAAAAATATTTCAAATAATCATCTAGTTAAAACAAATTTCTATTTCACTGCATAATAATAATCGAGGGTTCGGTCGTGCTTATGAATACATAGAAACCGTTATTTACATAGATTTAGAACAATACGAGTACTAACGATATTAGTGGTCAACGATAATCATTGGTGTTATGTCATATGGTTGTTAATTGATGTTCTATCATTGTGCCAGATAAAAACTATTGAATATTCTATATCTTTATCAGTACAAAAGAGTCGACTGTAATTTGTCTTATCTTCGTCTTTCTAGCCATGTAACATCTAATTAGATTATATATTATACGCAATATGCTACGAAAACATGTAAATAATGACAAAAAACGAACAATAGTCCAATCTTGTTTTTAAATAAATCAATTAATCTATGGGTAATTTGCATTTTTTCTTGTCTATTTTGCTAAATACCTAACAGAGTATTATTAGAAGTAATTTTTTATTAAAAGTTACTTACGACGTTACAAAAAATTTAAGGCATAAATAAGATGTCTACTGTTCAAACTTATTTAATTAGCTTTCCTTGCGCACTCTTTGTTTTTTTATCAACAGTTGATCACATGAACTTTTTAAATTAAAGGTAAGCAAGAAAAGTGTGATACTTACAACCATCCGGGTTATTGAGTTGCTGACCCTGACCTGAAAATATATCAATAATTAGCAAAAGTCAGGCACCTATGCAGTCATATTAATAGTTAAGTACATTGAAAATAAAAAAGTAAAATTAATGCAGATTATTGTTCGGTATTGCTTTTAAATAACAAACATATTTTCAAAGGAACCTAAAACATAATACTATAATAATTACTGTTAGACATCATAAACCCTAACCCAGCAACGTGCAGATCCATACATGCAAGCATGCAACTTACCGTCTTAGCACAGTGTAAAGGGTAAAGGAGTAAGGATCGTTACTCATGTGGTCTTAGTACCTAAAGTAGTTTATGATTATAAGGTGTCTGTTTCAATAAAAATGTCCTATGGAAAATATGCGAAGTGTGGACTTAGAGCGAAATTTTCGCGTCCAAGGCATTTCTTTCGTGACAAAGACTTTTTTGACCCCGAGAGCCGGGACTATCAATAAACTACGTTTTATAATAAGACGCCAAAACGTGGCTTATTGATAATCAAATTCGTTAATATACCTCATACCCACACCACAGTTGTCACTATCGGCGTATTATTAGGTACTTGTTATAAGGAGGGATGCTATTGAAACATTATGTTATGTTTTTTTTTTTATAGGATAAGGGTGACAAACGAGCACACAGTCCACCTGATGGTAAGTGGTTGCTGTGGCCCATAGACATCTACATCTATCCTCTATTACAAATCAATATGTAGATGCGTTGTCACCCGTGAGGACTAAGATGGAATGCCTCATTTCCAGTAAAAGGGGCCTATGTGGTTAATTATTGCATATTTGTGCCTATTAAATAATTGAAAGAAATTAATTACAATTTATTTTATTTTATTTATCTATGGAAACTTACACTATGACATGTTAAATAACAGAATAGTTTCTTAAGCTAAGTGTAGTGACTACGTACTAGTAAACACAGCATGCGCTACAACACATCCAGATATAAGATTGATTTTAAGATCGTCCAAAACACATAACGGCTAAACTGAAGTTAAGTTGTAAGCGTAAGCTAATGATTATATATTTTTTCATGCTAATTTTCATTCTTCACGTGGTAGAGCCATGCTGCAGCTATATCACTGGTATGGTTGAGGCACGAATGGGTCGGCTCGGCTGGGGAAGGACCACGCTCTCACAGAATACCAGCGTAAAATAGGAGCTTAACGCTGCTGTGTTTCGTATGGTAAGTTTAGAGAACCGGAGACCCTTTTTACTGTAAATGAGGCATTCCATCGTAGTCCTCAGGGGTGACAACGCATCTGCATTTTGATTCGTAATCGAGGATAGATGTAGATGTGTATGGGCAAAAAGCTTAAGTTTGACCGACCGCAACCTATCAGCAAAAAAGCAAATTAAAATGCAAGAAAATACAATAATTTGTTAATCGCATTTAATAAACAATAACTATAACTACAAGCTATTTGAATTCAAGGCTAAAACTAGATGTTGCCGCTTGCTAGTTAAGCTGCATCAAGTGTAGCTGCAGCTGGCCCTTGGATCTCCCAAAGCCGTGAAATTTTAATAATAATACATCGGCTAAAGATAAATCATTAAAAATTAAAAATTTTGTACAACCGACTTCAATATAAATTAATAAGAATAACTCAAAAACTTTTGGTCAGACCTTGATCAAATTTATATGGGACCACATGAGAACCACCTGCTATCAAATAAAAAAAGATTCATCGAAATCGGTTCACCCAGAAAAAAGTTATGAGGTAACACACATAAAAACACAGTCGAATTGAGTACCGTCTCCTTTTTGAAGCCAGTAGAAAAGTTTATTCCAAACTAGCTGGGCCCCGCGACTTCGCCCGCATGGAATTTACTACGATTTCATGGATATCAATTGTTTTGCGCGGAACCCTAATTTTGTTTTTGAGTAATGTTATCATCTTATAAATATTGACATGATGACATTAATATTTATACGATACTAACGTCACTCAATTGTTTTGCCTTCCCGGAACCCCTCCACTAACACTTAAACCTTATGGTATGGTATTAAAGTTCAAATTGACTCTTAAGTATTATTACGAATCTTTTGTATGAAAATATAGAAAAGTGTTGTGTTTAGACTTTTTCAGGAATTTTTTTTAATTTTTCTCTCTGAAAGAACCATCTTCGTACTTCAAGGAATATTATAATAAAGAAAAAGCAAAACCAGTTCAGCTGCTTTCGAGATTTACGCTTAGCAACACATTCAGCGATTCTCTTTTATATTATAGCTGAACATTTCGTTAAACAATAGCCTAAAAACAAAACTGAACCTCAGTTTAGCTCGCTAATCATAAGATTTTTTTTATTGTAAGGTTAGCTGTAACATATGTGTGAGAAATGTTTAATAAACTTGCAAACAATATTAGTTTTTTAATATTTCAACTACGAACCTGCTGACGGATTGTAGTCTACCACATTTACTGTAATGGAAAATTCTATTTTAATAGATGTGTTCATATATGAAAAACTTCTCGCATGCTATGCTTTGAACGCTTACTTTTGAGCTACCAAGGCTTTTATAAGCAATAATATATTTTTAATATTTTTTACTACAAACCTGCTGATGGGTTATAATCTACTACGTGCACTGTAATGAAAAAAAATATATTTAGATGTTCATGCACTATGAGAATTATAAAAGTGTAAATACCTACAACACAAAAAATATATATTTTTGAACAACTTAATCATGCTTAATTATGGATCCATGATGATTTTAAATATGCTAATATTTTCACTACGAACCTGCTGACGGGTTGTTGTCTACTACTTGTACTGTAACGAAAAAAATAATTTTATTAATGTGTTCGTATGGAGAAAGCTTTGTATATAAGGTTTTTAAACTGTCATATTTTCTAACAATAAACATAAGTACCTTCTGCGGGATTACGGTCCACGACATGAACTGTAATAACAAAAACGCATAAGATATTTTCATTTTTATTTTTTATTGAAAAAAACTTTATTGGGAAAACATAAAGTATATAACATATAAAATATAAATATGTAAAATATAACATAAATATACAACATTAACATAAATATAACATGTAAAACATAAAGTTACATATGTTTTACCAACTAAAAAGTTTTACCAATAATTTTTTTTTTTTGGTAAAATGAGCAGAAAATCTTTGGATGCAGGTGGTTTACGATCGTGCTTTGTAGCAGTTTATGTTCAGCAGTGGACTTCTGATTAACTACAGTAATGGTGATGATACAAAGAATTAAAATACGTTTATTAAAAATATAGAAAGAACATACCTTCTAATGGATTACGATCCACTACATTCACTGAAACGAAAGATATGGTCTATGAGAACGATTTAAATGTGTTCGAATATAAAATTGTGATTTTTCTTTTAAAAATAATAGCTATTTTTTTTTAAATACTTCATAGCGTCGTTCTAATCGAATAGACGATACCGATTTGCGGAATTGTCTTCATAGTAATTATTATAGAACAACAAAGCGAATACCAAGCTAAAACATTATCGTACGTACCGTATGAGGGATTGTTATCCACTACGTGCACTGTAATCAAATGTTCATAATGCAATATCAATAAGTGATTATATAACTATAAAACAACTAATGGTGTAATGTTTGTAAATAACTTCAATGAATACTAAGCCAGTTAGTAAAGTGGCCATTTACCCGATGAAACATTTTTGAATTCACCAGGTGGTTTAGAACCGTGCTTTGAGTTAGTGTGTTTGTAGTATTAATATGTGGAGGTGGTATCTTGAACAGCGGCCTTGGATGGGCTGTAATTATGATGATGAACGAAGCTAGTTGGCAATTGTAAAACTGTGTAATATACTCTTATAATTAGGGTTGCCACCCTTATTTTGAACAAATACTGTATTTTTCCCGAAAAACATGCAAAAATATAGTGCTTCCGGGAAATTCAGGAAAAAAGTACAATTGTTTAATCTTTATGTATTTTCCCATATATATTTGTTATTGGTCTTCGATTTTGCCGTCAATGATCAATGATGATGATATTACCTTTATTATTTTCAAATAAATTAACAAATCATTTTTAATTAAATTAAACCGACACGCGCTATTTATTTCTTCTTTCCATTTTACATTCATGTCGGAAAAAAATCTTTCCGTAAAACTTACCTACTTGTTTCAGAGTTCAGACTTCCAGTCACAGTTAACATAAAAAGCGTGGCAGTTGAATTAGGGATAAAATATAGTATTTTTTGTACTATATTATTTTTTTTATAATATATAGCACAACTAACTGAAATATACTATGGGTGACAACCGTACTTATAATATATAACAGAAATTTTAAAAGTCAAAGTCTAAACTTTCCATTGAATTTAGGCTTGTAAAGCTCTAATTAACGTATCTAACCCGTTCCCATAACAAACAAACCCTCAGAGAAGACCCGGCATGTAACTCTTGAGGCCTATTTTAATGCCACGTTACAATATTATTATGATATAAATTATAATTATGAATCATTTACAGTTTAAATTAATAATCAGTATTTATTAAGATTTCTGTATGGAAAACCATTAAGAGCGTATTCGGTCTGCTCGGTAATTGAGAAATAGGTATTTGAAGAAACTATTGCCGTCGCGCTATATATGGTCTCTCCCCGTAGAGTGCGATAGGGACAACTGCAGCTCAGAACGATTTTACCTACAAAAACCATGACCGATCGACGTTTCGTATTCCCCTGTTTTCTGCTCGTAAACCAAGCCGATTAAATTATACCACATAAACAGTGTATTTTACTATTAAAATGATAAATAATTATATTAATAGTATATATAATAATAAAAAAAACTTTTAATGAAATTACAAACTGACTTCAAAATTTAAAAAAGATAATAATACTTCTTTCTTACACTACGTCTCACGATTTTGGGTGGTCTAAAGAATATTAAAAGTTCATGGTAACAACTAGAATGTCATTTTAATTAGTACATTAATATTTTCATACCGTATTTTTCACACTCAGGGATGGATTTTTTTATAAATTTAGATTTGACCGTTCCTGAAATATAACCTATTTAATAAAAAGAAATTAATAAAATTGGGTCAGCTGTTTTGCAGAAATCAGTGACATAAAAAATATAAGTACGATGAACATAGAACCTGCTCTTTTTTTTGAACTGAGAAAAAAATACATTTTGTAATTAATTAGAAGATATCGGAAAATATGTTTGTTATTTAAAACAACAAAAATGTTAAAGAAAAATGTATACCTCCCTGGGCTGCGACAAACGCTACCAAAGCGAATAAAAGGATCTGTAAAACAACAAAACGATACATTTTTACACACGAAATGGCTTAAAATGTGCACACACAATAGAGTTCGTACTTAGTTCCGACTAAAATATAGGTTTAATAACAAAAATCAATGTACACTTTAACATACAAGTCATCGCTATCTAGAAGATAAGATAACGTTCATGATTTCATGAAAGCTGAGATCAGACAGCCACGGAACGCAACTGTGGACATGGCATTATGTGGACATTGAGTATTTATATAATACTTTATAGTTTAGTTTATTTAAAAGTCATGGTTGTTGAGTCCCAATATAAATTAACATTTAACAAAATTAACATTTAACAAAATGTAATGTATAAATTTATTATTATGATTTATATAATGAAGATCACGGACCTAAGCCATTTTTATGAATTGTAGAAGTTTTTAATTACGTCTCCACTGAAAAGTGGGTACCAGTAATACAATGTATACTTTATTATTTTTACATATTCTTATTATTTTTTCTTTTAATTCAGTGTATATATTTATTTTTTCCGTTGATATCCTAATTTATTTAGTTTGTCATTAGATTTAGGTCGGGTGTATTATTATGGACGGTTTACATGATACGTATGATAGGTACATTAGAAATGTATTTTTATAATTAATATAATGAGCACTATTATATATCAAAGAACTAGCTAATGGTTACTGTTACATTTACAGTGCAAAAGTTTATCTACAAGTAATTATTAAAACTTAAGATGAAAAATTTGTAAGTATAACATTGTTTCATGATAAATATTACAAACAAAACTTTATAAATTACAAAGATAATATCCAGGAACTTATACATACCACAGCGGTTCTCATTTTTTAAATAATAAACAAAATGTATGCGATTGCTGATAAAATCCCAATGTGTTTAGAGACGAATTTTTTAGCTCGTCTTTTATAAAGTTTGAGATCCCCCCCCCCCCCCTCCCGTCTCTCATGGTCAATATTAGGCAAGTAATAACTAAATATAACGTGCAAACAATGTTTTCCTGTTCAATTTCTGCTAACTATTGACGCTGTGTGGGTTATCTTACTTAAACAGCCAGTTATCTAACATAAAGTATAGTATAGTAGTTTTATAGAATTGATTTGTAATTAAAATGAATTATCAACTTTGAAATTTTTCCACATACCGTCGCTACCATCATCATAGGCTAAGCACATGGACAGGGCAGCTATTACTGATCTCCCAGATTACCACAAAGCAAAGGCTTGAGCCACCGACATTATATTGACTTAGGTACTGCTCGTTTGTCGTACTTGTTTGATCTAGTTGTGAGTCACCTAAGAACTTTTCTTCCTCATCCGTTGTCAGTTTTGGGCTATCTACAAGTACATAAGTGGCGTATAGTACATAAGTACATATATGGCGGATCCACTGCATTTCCAGCTTAATAATTAGTTGGATTATGTCAGTTAGGTACTCCTGGTCCGCTGCGAATCCCCGTTACGGATTCCATCACGTGGAACTCCTAGAAAAGTTATCTCTTAAATGCGCTATTTTTTTAAGACTAGCAGTGAAAGATCACGGTTAAGTACCATAAGTCATTACTTGTAACACGTAGTGGTTTTTGTTTTGAGTAATACCGCATGTGTCATAATGTAAACATCTACCGGCAAAGGTGTGTTAAGGACGTTAAACAAAGTGTTCGTCTTGGCCTCGTTCGTCTTACGCCAGCTAAAGATCTTCTTATTGCTAAGTGACCACTGCAGCCTAAGACCAACTTCAAACAAAGTATACTTAGATGCATCGTGTATAACGGAAGGAACACCTCTGCACATCCAAACTGATTGTGGACCCTTAATGCGCAAACGTAACACTCATCATTTTAACAGTGGTAGAGCCACGCGGCAGCTTTTGCTGTCACACGGATGCGTCGGCTCGAACCGGGGTGGTACCACGACCTCACAGAATACCAACGTGAAGTAGAGGTTTACCTCTGCGTTTCGCTTGGTGAGTGCAGGTGGCCGGAGGCCCTTTTTACTGGAAATGAGGCATTCCATCTTAGTCCTCACGGGTGACAACGCATCTACATTTTGATTTGTAATAGAGGATAGATGTAGATGTCTATGGGCCGCAGCAACCACTTACCATCAGGTGGACAGTGTGCTCGTTAGTCACCCTTATCCTATAAAAAAAAATCTGGGACACTATGTACTCTGCCCAGAAGAATTAAAATTGCTCACAGCTAAGCAACTCCTTCTATTCAATGAAGACATAAGGCTTAGCGGTGAACTAAATCCATAGCAGCGATCACGATAGATCTTACAGATCGCAGTGATACTTTCTTCGTATATTTTTTAGACCTGCATAGCTACTTGCCCAAATAAAACAAATAGATGCGTTGTGACTGACCTCGAGGAACTAATGCCTCACAGCCGGTAATTTTCCTGGCTCTCTTACACTTTAAACAATACAACAGCATGTGCACTGTTGCTCGAGGTCAGAAAATGTTAAGCCGCGTCTCCACCAAAGTTTTATTGTCAACACAACATTTGCCAACAAAACTTATTTCTATTTTCGGCGGCAACATCAAAGGAATACGCTTCTTGCCAACATTTGTTCTCTCGGTGGAGGCGCTTGTTGACAGAAACATTTGTTGACAAAACGTGTTGGTAAATGTTGTGTTGACAACAAAACTTTGGTGGAGACGCGCCATTATGAAGGTGGTAGCCGGACATACTCCGTGGCACGAAAGCTAGCCTGGTATCGCAACTCGTAAGTATGCATAAAGAGACTAAAGCTTCCGTCACACACACCGACAATTCGCTGCCTGCCTGTCACACGCAGCGAGTACTACGCGAGAATTATCTTTATTATTATGTATCTTTTATATTATTAATTTTTCTATTCAATTGCTCTTGGGTTGCTATTTCGAATACGAACTCAAATAATTCGTTAAAACATTATGTAGGTGTCTGCCTTTGCGCTTTTGAAGTTATACTTCTTTTGTTGCGTTTGGGAAAAATTATGACAGTAAATTTTTTAAGATGCGCACGCACAACGACAGCTAAAAATGACACCATGAAGTTGTTTGAGGTGTTCGTGTGCGTGCGCACAACAACAAGCGACGACTTCATTAGATAACTGTCTCACAAGTTTTCGTGGGAAATAATAACTATATTTAAAGTAGTTATTTTTAGTTATTTTTGTTTTGTTACACTCAAGAAACGAATTATATCGTAATTTCCCCACTTTAGAGAATTTTTGGTTGACTCATTTGATTTACTTACACACACGTATCTATGCAGTAACAAAATGACCTATGCACAGGCGTGTAGTCTGGATAGGTTTGCCAGATCAGAAGACCAAAATATCTGGACAAATTTTGAAAATGTCGGGATTTCGGGGTTGGTGTCGGGAGAAATAAATAAAAGTTTATTTTTTTAATTAAGAGGCTACAAAAAGTACTTTAACCAAAAGTAATTTAAGTACACTTAAATTGCCACATGTATTTGGCATTGGACTTTACTAGAGCCCACCAATTTGGTTCGTTTAGTAGTATTCACAAAAGATTTCATATTCCAATAATTTACTCAAAGTTCAGTGTAATTACTAACGACGAGAACGAGAAGTTGTTTGTCTGTAGATTTTGAGGTTGGTCGGGGGTCTGGAGATCATTTAAAATGTCGGGAGAATCCAGATGAATGCGACCATCTGGCAACCGTAAGTCTCGAGCGGCGCGCTGAGCGGAATGGCTACTCATAGCGAGTACCCTGTCACATACAGCGAATTCTCGCGGCGAGTGAACATTTGCAGAGAGCAAAATTCAACATGTTCAATTCAAATCGCGGTGAATTCGACTCGCGGCGAATGAATCAATTCGCAGCGAATAGCCTGTTACACACAGTGAGTTCTCGCTGCAAGTGCCTAATTGCAGCGAGTATTCACTGTGTGTTTCCGAGGCTTAACACGACTTTATCTCTCCGTTTCCAGTCTAACCCTTTGGAAAAATAGTGATAACGGTGAATACATTATATAACCATTCGTTATAAATACCTACTGGATATAGTTAGAGAGGAGAACATTGTTTATAGGAGGAATCAACATGCATCGTTCATTCGTTCGTTATCACTAGCCACTAAATAGTACATAACAAACACGCTTATCCGGGTCTGTCTGATATGATCTCCAGCTTTTTACATTTGTACTTTTTGCATTTGCATTATGAGATTCTCGCACCTCATCTTGGTGAAATTTATCTCGGCAGTGATGTGTGACAATGATTGATAAACATATATTTTTTATATTATACTGAGAACTGACAGCTGACTCTCAAGGTTTCTGATTTATCGCATTCTCTATGGCGATCGTGATTTAATCTGCTTCAGGAGAAATTTTAATAATTTCGGTGACATGTAAATATGAAATGACCGCAAAATCGCATTGGGGAAGTGTCTTTGTTTTATAATCTTTTTAGAAATGAGACGATATTACTTTTAAGCTATTTTAAAGCAATGGCCGCAGTAGGAATGAGTCGGCTCAAAGGACCACCCTCGCACATAATTACCAGCATGAATGATCAACATTTTAATGTCATGCTTCGTGTACATTTAAATAAAACTAGTTTTACTTAAATGTTGTACTAGTTTTATCTTGTAAGTTCATACTGTGTAGATCAGAACAAAAATTAATAATTTTTAATCTGGAGGTAGCCGTGGTTAACTAACACATTGGGACGTCAAACACCTCAGTCACCCCCGTGACCATGGGTGCTGTAAAGTACTCGAAACGTCGGGAATATAAAATAAGTAACTATACGCGATAAAATCCGTAAAACTAGTTTTATTTAAATGTGCAGTGTTCGCGTAAATATAAGAAATCATTATGCTTCGTAGTGAGTGACGAGAACCGGTGACGCTTTTGGAAATCACATTCCATCTTAGTTCTCAAGAGGTGACAACGCATCTGCGCTTGGTGGCTTATACTTTTGTAATAAGTTTAATTTTATGCCCTGACTGGACTATGGAATAAAACAAGCTCAAGGTGACAAATGGAATGTCGTCTAAATAGTTACATTAATAACTTCATCCACTATTTTACCACCCTTAGGGATGGAATTTTTCATCCAAACTTATTCAGGGTTATTTTGCCATAACCGGCCAAATTTGCAGAGAATGTTCAGAATAAGTAATATAGGCAAATGGTGAAGAAAAATTAATTTAATAAATCACAAACATTCTGTCCTTTTTATCTTTTAAATTCAAAATGCGTGGTAGGTAATGCATTATTTACTAATTTCTTAAATTAATAATAATTAATTATTAATTTATTGATTTCTAAACGTGGTGCTGCTGCAGCTATATTAGTAGTATAGTTGTAGCATGAATGGGTCGGCTTGACCGGGGAAGGACCACGCTCTCACAGAATAACAACGTAAAATCGCAGCTTAACACGCTTTTTACTGGAAAATAGGCATTCCATCTTAGTCTTCACGGGTGACATCTGCATTTTGATTCACAAACGAGGCCACAGCAACCACTTACCATCAGTTGGACTGTGTGCTCGTTTGTCACTCTAACCTATAAAAAAAATTAAATGATTTTACTGGCACGCACACATTCGTAATGGTCGATTGGTAGGCGAACACGTTTTTGCCCATAAATCACATTCAATTTGGGATAATTTCAAATAAAAGTAGAAGCCTTATTTACTCGAATTTTCAAAAACTGCATTAACGATATATCATTATTTATAAATGTGAACTTAAGCTTAAAATATGACACGATATAATATCTCAAATTCCATTCTATTTAAACCAGTAGTTTAAGAATTATAACTAGTCAAAATTTTTTAATTTTGTCATTCACTGACTGACCGATCATCAAAACTCTAAGGCACTTCTAGCAGACATAGAAGCTTCAAATTT